CGATTGTAGTATCAGGCTGCAACATAACAAAATTGAAAAAAGTGAAGGGAGTCTGAATACTTTCCAAATGCACTGTATGAATCCGACTTTGACCCAGATCCCTTGGCAAAGTGAAATTAAGTCTGATAGATGAGGCCTAAAACAGCGATGTAGCAACTTTCTTAATGCTCCTGTAATGCCAGTACTGTGCTTTTTAAAGAGCCTGGAGTTTTTCTTCTTGATGACGCCCAGGACTAATTTACCCGAGTGAAGCCTACCTCTCCGCGTCCACAGCCCACCTCAGACCCGACAGGATTTTAAAAGCTCTTCGGATTACATTTTAAGGACGACTGGGAGAATTAAGCACACGCCACCGTTTCATCTGATGCAACAGCAGGCGCCCTTCCCCAGCGAAAGGACCAGGCTTCGGCGAGCCCAGAGCGCTGCTTCGAAACGCGCGCTCCACCTTTCCAAACGCGACAAGTTACTGCTTTCCCGATGCCTGTAAATTGCCCAAAAACTCGACACGTTACCGCAGGGCGCTTGGCTGTTTTCCGTCTGTCCTCCGACCGAGGCTTCCCTGATCGGAAGCCTGGCTTTCTAACATCTGCAGAAAAGAAACATCCCACGGATGTCTCCTCGTTCTCCGTCCCCATTAGAGTAAGGCTCCCGTCATTTGGGGTCTGAAGCCCTCATTCGCACAGCCTCTCACAAATTTCAGGGGTGACCAATACTCACGAGTAAGGTAAGCGGAGAGCGTTTATGACTGGAGCCCACGGCTGCAGTTTCGATTTCCTCCTTTATCCCACAGAGAAAAACAGCACGGAGTCATTCCGACGGACCGCTTTCAGACAGCCTCGCTTCCGGTTTAGATGGGAAGCCGCCATATGCGGGGCGAAACGCTGAAGGATCGGTAATATGGGAGGCTCCCTGTCGCTACGGTGGCAATTGAGAGTCACATCTTCGGCCTTAACCACTATGTTGTTTTTTGCTAGGATAGACTCTAGAGGTTTAGAAATAATTCAAATTTTCTGGGATAACTTGGAATGGAAATGAATCAGACCGGACTCGATCGTCTTTCAACCGATGTACTTGTATTAACTGCTATAAATACACGAGTGAAAATGTGGTCTCACTGATTTTTCTCAGGGAACACAATGCTATACAACCCAATAAAAGATTGCTGGTTAGTAATGAGAACAGATGCTCCATTTTCACTTCTTTGGCCACATTGTACCTATTATTCTTTTAACCATTTCATTTCTTGGCTCCCATTTTTCATAGCAGCATCTTCCGTAACATCCAACCTTTTGAAGTAGTCATTTTTAGTTTCCAGTTGGTTATGTTTTTTCACCCATCCTGTTTCCTTGGTCAGGATCTCTGAATTCATCCATGCCTCTCCTACAGTTTTATAAATATTCCTGCGTGCTCCAGTTCAACCAAATCTGTGGTGGGGAGGGTGTTACTACAAGTTCAATATAATGAGTTTTCATTTCTTTTGGTTTAACAATTTATCAGAGAAAAAAGGCTTTGTGAACAGATGTTAACATATTGAGGATGAGCAGCGAATACCACTTATCAGATCTAAAGCAGGAGTTTTATCAGTGTAAAGGTCCAGTAAGAGCTCATTAGTTTCTTCCACATTAGATACATAAAGTATATATAGTATATAAAATGGGAATGGTAGCAGGTTTAAAACACAGTCATTTTAAACCTGAACCAAGTTATAAGCCTTCATAAATTTCCATGGGACTACATCTCATCAAAAATAAAAATAGTATGTTTATATTTGGGTTATGGGCAGCATGCTAAACTCAGAGAAAACATGTTTCACAGCCCAAACACAGCACTTGTTATCATATTCACTACCTGAAATGTGCGCAAGGACCACCCAAACC